ATAAAGACTCGAGCTGGATGGTGCCTAAGGCATGGTGAACGTGGCAGGGGATGGCGAGGATGTCTGGAGCAGGGGTGGGCTGGCGGCCTCTGCGCTGCCTGGACATGGCGGTGATGGTGGACAGTTACTGTCCTTTCCAATATTGCCATCTAGAGGACCCAGCAAGGACGAGAGCTCCTTGCAGACCACGATGAGATAAGGAAGAAGAATCAAAAGCTTGCTTTTTTTTTTTAATTTTACCTCACATAAATGCTTCCCCAGCATGACGTGGAGACGGAGAGCCAAGCACGCAGTACTGTCTGTGCCTTGGGCATGAGAATGGAGACGGAGAGCCAAGTGCGCAGTACTGTCTGTGCCTTGGGCATGAGATACAGGTTTGCTCTAAAAACAGCCCTGTGATTTTTCTGAGGCTGTAGATACCTGGTGTTGGCACATTTCCCAGTGCTTTACTGATGCCCACATGAACATGGCCAGGTGGTACGATAGGTTGACTGAAAGCTGTCCCTCATCAGCTCAAATTGAACTGAACTAATGAAATGGGAACTATTCAGCAAGTGGTGGCTCTACGCATCTACCTGCGGCGCAAGTCCCCCTTCCCAGACTACGCAGGGATCTGCCCTGTCCCTTCTTCCAGCGCCTCTGAACAGCACCTATCCAAAATCTTTTTGCATGGCTGAAACGATGTGCCAGTTCACGGCACAGCGAGCCCGTCCCAGAGGATGCCTGCCTGCAGCCGCCTGCGCTGGGGAGGGTGGATGTACACCGGCTGGTCCCAGCTACATTTTGGACACTGGAGATAGCGCTCACCGATGGTGAGCCCAAGGGCCTGAATCACACCTTATTTCAACAAAACAATTCATTTGTAAGGGATGTGCTGCACTTCTTTTGAGGGTTTGCAAGAGTGAAGAGCTGCCAGAAGGCATTAATTCAATTGCTAAACTACGTCTTTGGTTTTTTGAGTTACGTGCCTGAGTACACCCCAAGCCTGGACTGGATGGTATGCACACAGGGGGATTAGCGGTGTTTATTCTGATTGTCAGGATTTTGAGGTGTGAGAGTGCACGGTGGAATTAGCATCATTCCATAGTAAGAACATAAACACCGTTGTCTCCTGTCTCGCTCCTGTGACATCCAGTAGCACAGGCCACCCATGGCCAGCATGACGCTGGACAAGCCCTTCTCTCTCGCAGACTCACGGTACTTTCGCGAGCTGCCATCAAGGCTTTGGCAAAGCCCAGCATGAGCGCTCAGGACTCGTCACCCCACGCGAGGACCACAGTCCCTTTGGAAAGCAGAACAGACAGCCCCTCGGCTCTTCGCAGCTATGGGTGGGAGATAAGTGTGTTTAACTAGGTCTCAGGGGCTATCCTCCTGCAGTGACACAGGGCTACAAACAATGTCTTTTTATACCATTCAAAAGATGAAGGTTGTCCTTTGTGAATCAAAGCCCTCAAAACCAGATTGCTGAAGTTTCTGAGGTGCCCTCTATATTGAAGGACTGTAAAGCACTTGAACTAACCTCTTCAGCCACTCCAACAGCACATAGCACCAAAAGAATAGTACAGACAGGAGACGGAGGGCAGAATCACCTGCCACAAGCCCAACTGCAAATTCAACCAAAACACGGGACATAAAAGCCCACGAAAGCTCAGGAGCCTTGATTTTGCAAATGCCTGGTAGCGATGCCTCTCACGCAGGTCCACCCACTGCCCCAGGACACGTGCAAGCGAGCAGTGCTACCCCAGCTGGGTTTTGCTGCTCGTGGAGCAGCCTAGGAGCTGCAGTGACTTTTAGCAGACATCAGCATCTCTCTGCTCCCCAGTGCCTGTTCCTGCAAGCGAAGATGGCCCCAGGGCTGGGCTGTGTCTCAAGAGCTGAGGTGAAGGCAGGAGTGTGCACCCCAGCCCGGCTGCCCTCCATCCCAGGGGGTTCAGCATCTGCATCCGTGGTTGCTGCCTTACCCATTGGCCAAAGACCATGAACAAACTGGTCTGAGAAGGTCAAGTGGCACATCATCACTTTGCTACAGATTTATTTCCGTGTGAATTAATGAAACGGTACACACAATTCCAGGAAAAAACAAACAAAAAAAAATCTTTTATAGGCCCATAATCCTTCTTTCACAGTACAATGCAACAGTAAAGGATTTAGTCAGTGTAAACAGAAGGTCCAATAGTGATCATCAGCTATCACAGATCAGCTGCACAAACACCACAACTACGGAGTTAATGCCATTACCACACAAATTGACAGTACCAGTACAAATCATAACTTTACCTACAATGCTTTTTCATGTACAAAAACCATGGAAATTCAATTTACAGAAGAAGGGCACCTTCTCCAAATCTTCGTGGGAGCTGTAAACTGCCTCCTTGGGGCTGGCTGTCTTACCTATTTGGCAAAAGGTCTTGGGGCCTGATTCTCCAAGGTACCCTTAACTTCATCTGCAGCACACAAGCCATCAGGGCTCTGCATCTGAAAACCAGGCACTCATGTATTCTCTGCTGCAGCAGGACAAAGAAAATAATCAGCTGAGGATAAATCAGAGTCATTTATTAAATCACTCCTGAATTTCAGCTTAGATTCATTCATTCACCATGACTGGTGACTACTCAAAACAGTCCTGGTTATATTATGCATGGATCATAAGAGTTCACAGGTAACCCATAAAATTACAATTTGTTAACTTTTTTTTTTCCTTAATGTACTAACTGAATAGTCACTGGTGTCAAAAGTTGAGGCTTATGGTAATGTGTTGGCAAGCTTAAAAAGAGTGGATAAATTATTGAAGTTGAAGGGTCAGAGAAAGAGAGGAATGCTACCAAGGCTTACAGTAAAACATTATGCTGTGGCCATCTTGCAGCGTTTGGCTGCAAATTTTCATGTCAGCTGGGGATTGCCTGGGAAGGAACCCTGCGCTGCCCTTACGCTGTGCCAGTGCACGGGCCCTGCCGATGGGACCACGGCTTTCAGGGGGAGCAAAACCATTCTGCACCTCCGGCTGCACCGATGCCAGCTTTGTAAATTGAATTCATAGTCAGATTATACAGGAAAAAACAAGAGGTAGTTATTTATCATACCTCTTCAAAAAGGCAAAACAAACAAAAAACGGGATGTAGAAGTGATGCAGTAAACCTAAAGTCAACAGGTACCTACTTTTTTTTTTCCTTTTTTGTTTTTTAAACACGTGAAGTTAAGTTACAGACATCATATAAAATGCACACTTTATGGAATTCCTGCATAGCAGGAAACAAAGAAGCTAGCGCTAATCCAACAGCTATGTTAACAGCAAGACTGCCATTTACCGGTGCAAGATGCCCTATCTAAATATAAACAGAGCATTACTCCCCTTCTAGAGGAGTCCTATGGCAACACTTTTTGTTCAGAAGGAAAAAGAAAGCATTTTCTTGGGGATAAACTGCCAAAATAATTAGTTTCACATCCATAAATTTAAGGCAATGTTACTTAGACCTGAGAAAATGAAAAAAAAAAAGTGTAAATTTATTTTCTCAACTATACATATACGCTCCAAATTTCAGTATTTCCTGTCTCCTCCACCTCTCAGGTGGTGCTGGGGAAAACAGGCGTGGGGACACTGCTCTGAGGTCTCAGGGTCGGATCCTGAGAGATGCAGTGTTTGTTCCAAGGAAAGCTAATGGGAGCTGTGAGTGCTCACACTCACCCGGCTCTTTTTCATATATTCTCTTTTTAAACACCTCTGTTTAAGCCCTCTGGAGAGGGTTAACTCCAGAACAGGCCTGTAGTGCACCGGTAACCCTGAAAGGTTTGTATAGCAAAACTTCAGCTAAAATAGACAATAAAATTACATACAGTATTCTGTGATTCCCCCTTTTCAGGAGAAAAAGAATGTCAGGGTTAACAATTTCAGTGCACCTTTAGCTATTCCCGTAACTACAGAGTAAATCCTTTAACACTAGTGTGAAATCACAAATTGTTCTGTGCTCTTCCTTGGAAAATTAAAATTAAAATTTAAAAAAAACAAAACAAAACAAAGAAAAAGTAAACTCGCAAACATTTCTCATTAAATGGTAAGAGACAAGAGAGAGATCAGGTGGCGATTACAGACACACAGCATGCTAAAGAGTTATTAAACAAAGTGCAATGATTTTTGACTATACAGGAGGACGGACGGACAACTCCCCTTCGGTACCACCTAAATGCTCTATACCTCTGGAGAGGTCCAGAGGTACTGTGTCATCTGTAGCCGTAAAGCTTGTGTTCGAGGTTGGCCGGGCTCCATGGCCCCAAGTGCAACTGCGGTAGTTCTGCACACCTTAGCTACGTCTGTGACTGCAGGAGGAGATTCACTCGCACAAAGACACAGTCGCTTCCCAAACGTGAAATTTAGTTGCCAGTTGAGGATTTGATGGCTGGTTTTAGAAAGCTGCTTGAGCCACAACCGAAAGGTGGACTCAGCCCTAAGATCTGTGCATGCCTGGTGGAGTTTCTGTGGGATCATCTCCTTCTCCTAAACATGACTACAGACACAAACCACCCCTCCCTCCTGCTCCCATCTGAGCAGCCAGACACCCACAGTCCTTGCTATCAGCTTTGGCCAGTGCCTGCCGTTGGCTCGCTAAAGCAGGGCTTGGGCAGAGGGTCACTAAAAAGCAGAAAGTCTCCAGGTCCCAGCTCAGGTTCCCACAAAGCGAATGAGTTTATCACTGGCTGCGGCCCAGCTAGAAGGTCTGTGGGCAGATTTTTTGCTGGGATTTCAAACGTCACTATCCAAAGATCAGAGACCAAAAAAAAAAATAAAATAGAAAACCCAGTCCTCATCTGAATCGAAAGCGATGTCCACTGCTCACCAGCACCTCCCCACCCTCCTCTCCCAGGCTCAAAGGATGAACAGGGAGTCAGCTCCTTTACTTACTACTCTGGGAACTAAATCCTTTGTCAAATCACACATTAAAGAAGCTCACTGTGTGCAAAATACTCTTACGCTAAAACAGTTCCACCCTACACAGTGCAGTCAACACAGTTTTTAACTTAAATTTGCAGCTTGTTCTTTACAAGTGCTTGGCAGAGAATATTTATATTCTTCTGACACCATATAAATAATATTTATACAGCTTAGACATTTTGAGACATGCATTAGACTTTGGGTAGTACATATTTCTTGATCATATATGCAAACATTACTGTCAATTAAACCAAGCAACCTTATGCTGGACCATGTCTTGCATTATCCAGGATGTTTGACGGTGGCTCCGAATCGTCCATGGGAAGGACCAGGCGCGTTCCTCGGATTACGAGTTCATGGTCCCCAAAAGCAAGCTCCCGATCGAGCGCGTCTTCAGAGCTGTTTCCCACGAACCGTCGCGATGTGCCACTGGATGTGACAGAGTCGGTGTTGACAGTGGAATCCCCGTAGGTCAGACTGATGTCCCCATCGTTCAAAATGAGGTCAGAGTCATCGTCCTTCAGCTGCTCTTGGTTCTGGGCAACAAACAGGAGGAAAGCACTGCTTAACTCCTCCTGAATAGCTATGTTTGCAATCGCACGGTGGCGGTCAATGAGCAGATAAAGGCATCAAATCACAGAATCTCCTGCACCGTGACCATAACCAGATGTGCCACACATACATCTCTGAGCCCACAAGACTCACACAATGCACCAACTTCTCTGCAGACTGCCTAAAAGAGCTCTCTTTGGCAATTCCTTGTGACGCCACAGCCAGATACATGGGGAGCGCAGTTTTGAGTGGCTTTGACAGGACTAAAACATCCATGACCATAGGAATCACATTGCTGACCCATCAGAGCCATCTCTGTTTTGTGTAACTTGATGCTGATACTTCGCGGGGAGGGTAAGAGAACTCCTGCCTTAGAGAGCTGCCGCTGCAAGGGGCTCCTGGGCATGGCAATGCCCCGAGTGCCGAGGCCCTGCCAAAGAGCCGTGCCAGCACCAGCCACCCACAGAGCCATGGGAGGCCAAGCCCGACCAGCAAATCCAGCTCCTGAAAGAGCGTGGGTGCACACAGCCTCTGCAGCGATGGTGGAAGAGGTCCCTGGAGAACTCCTGCCTTAGAGAGCTGCCGCTGCAAGGGGCTCCTGGGCATGGCAATGCCCCGAGTGCCGAGGCCCTGCCAAAGAGCCGTGCCAGCACCAGCCACCCACAGAGCCATGGGAGGCCAAGCCCGACCAGCAAATCCAGCTCCTGAAAGAGCGTGGGTGCACACAGCCTCTGCAGCGATGGTGGAAGAGGTCCCTGCCTACAGGTTTTCCAAAGGTGTGTGTCACCTCCCTGCCCCTCTGGGCTGCTCAAACAAGGGTTCTTTACTATTTCAGGAGAAAATCAGTCCCAAATCAGATGCTGGCAACCTCTTCGGTTGCAAGTGATGCAGCTGAAGGAGCTGCAGGAACAGCTCAGCTACAAGGCTGGAAGAAAGCAGGGGACAGGGAAATTGTGTGTCCTCCCAGCTGGGCCTGGGGAAGGACAGCCATGACAGCTTCATTGAGCCAGTCACTGAGGAAACACCATGAACACACCACGAATCCCTTCATGACCAAACAGTCAGCTGGAAAAGCAAAATGCTCATGGGAATTAGCTCATCCATAAGCCCCAGTATCTGATCTCCCTCCAGGCTCCCGGCTCAAACCTGCAGAGCAGTATCCAAAAGCTACACAGAAACGTAAATGTGTCAAGCATCACCAACACCATGACAGAAAAGACACTGATGGACTCACCTCGTATGCCTGCGGACTTGTCAGGCACCGGGCAATAGGCCCACAGCACCCTGGGAGCGTGGTCGTCAGAGGAGGACCGCTATGCGTCAGCAAAGGCTTTAGATAGCTACAGAGAGCGTTAAGGAAGAAAGAGGGATAGGGCAATGTCGGTGAGTCAAGGGGTGGGATGCAGAAGCAGCAGTGAGGGACTTGGTGTCTCAAGGAAACCACGGGAAGGAAAGAAACACAAGTCCCTAGAAGCACAAAAATTTTAGGGATGAGCAACATGAATGCAACCAAACATAGTGGGACATGAGTGGACCAGGACACAGTCCTGGTAAAAAAAGGCTTAGCAGCATCACTTGTCCCATCATCTTGTGCCTCTCAGTCTGGCAAATCGCTCCTCCACTAATTCACAGCAAAGCATTTGAAAGGGAGGAGGGGCACAGATGTAGCAAGAGGGCTACAAATGAGAAGACCCCGTGCCCTTCCTGCCCACCTGCCACTGGGATCAAGGGCCCCCGTGGGCTTCCAGCCTTGAAAAGCCCAGCTTTGAACTGAGCTACCGCTACATTCACACTGACGTTGGGTGGAAATGGTCATTTCTCACAGCCACAGACACGAGGAGGTGCAAATCAAAAACCAGCAGCTTAACAGGAAAATGAACGCTGGCTCCTCTGCTAAGCCGTGAGCGAGTCATGCTCCAAGTCAACCAAGTTGCTCAGGCAGACGGGATTTGACACGGCACGCACCGACCGCCATTCAAGGATACTTGTGATCGAAGTTGTACCACATACGGAAAAGCCAGGCACTTTCTGCCTTCGTACTCCTCCTCTCGCTCTCCGGGACACCCTGCAGAAGAGCAAAACATTAAACAGCGGCAGGGCAACGTGCCACAACCTGGATCAGGGGCAGGAGCCCCCACGGGGCACCGCATTAGCCCCAGGGGTACGTAAGAAGGCACACACCTGCCCACTGCCTCTTCAAAAGAAACCCTTGGGTTGCAGCAAGCATAAGGGCATTCACACGACAGGCTGAAGGCGCTTCCAGCACCACACTCTGCATTTAGCCACGTACAACAGCCTCAGGGAGGTGGTATCAAAGCACAGAGGGAACATTTTTCTGCTAGAGCCTTCCAGTTTCTGGCCCCAAGGTTTTAAGTATCTCAGAGCCAGAAGCTGCATCCAGACATCACATTTAATAGTAACTGACAGGTCCAACCTCCATCAAATCTCGCCTGAGATTTTTGTATGCAAATAATCATGTGTTAGGGGACTCCTGGCTTCCTTTTAGTTGGAGAAAAAAATATAAAACTGTTTGGAGGGGACTATGAATTCAATTACATATTTCATAGAAATTGGGCTTTCAGATTTATGGCTGTGGGCTGCCTTTAGCATTTGATGCTTTCTCTCCAGGAGGTGAACAGCCCAATAAATGGCTCTGAATAAAATGAACCTCCAAGGTGCAGAACCCATACTGAAATCAAGTAGAGCCACAGCCACAGCACAATCCAGCTGCAGATGCACGAGCAAGACAGCTCGGGGCTACCAAGCAGGAAAAATCCCGACAATGTAGGGCTCCAGCATTTATCTCAGCACGGTCAGTGGTTCCTGGGCTGCCACATAAATACCCACAGGAAACATGGGGGCAAAAGAGAGGTTGAGGGTACCTATGGGCAGAAGTGGGACAGAAGATGCTACATAAAATGAGTCAGTAAATGGCATTTCTGTACTGCCCTGGATGCTGGGATGAGTAGAAAGCCTCCGTGTCATGCACATTTTGATACTTATTTCAGACCCAGCAAGGGAGAGACCGAATCTATTGCAGCAGTAATGTGGACTGACTAACAGTCCAGTGTTCCTTCTATGCCCTTCTTTCCAACTGAATAAAAGCAAGCCTCATTATAACCACAGAGAGCATAGAAAAGCCATGACTCCCACTGACTGCAAACTCTTTCACCAGAGGAGCTAACAGCTCTCCTACAGCTGGAAGGGACCAGAGCACAGACGGGCATTCAGAGGGTCTCCATGTAACCCCTGCACCAATAAATGCGGCACAAATTCCTCTACAGAGCCTGCCCAGCAGCGCCGCACTCACCACATTCTCCTGATCTGCATCCACACCGACTCTGCGGAGGGAAAAATAAGCACAAGGTTACAACAAGCATTGCCACGCCAGTACACGCTGCGGTCCTGGGGGGAAGGATGCAATCTTCCTCTTGTCTCTTAAAACTGAGCACCTTAACGTAAGAGCGGGACGAGGGAGAGGATGTGCTGCGCCAGGAAAGCCCCACGCACGCCACACTCACCGGATGTTCAGGCAGGACAGCATGGCCGTGGTGCCCCCACCAAAAACCCACACTGTAAAGAAGACGATGAGGAGCGTC